TTATATTGAGAAAATACTAATTATTTATATCAATGAACAGGGAAGGCTTATAGAGATTGGAGACCTTCAACCCCGTGTTTGGCAACACCAATGGCAAGAGAGTCTCTGGTTTTCACAAGGATGTTATGGAGATTCTGAAGCCTGGAATCTCTTCTAAAAGCCAGTAAGAAGAGTTGTGTGTTATCTGAACTTCCCTAGGGTGGTTCACACCCAGCACCTCCTGAGAAGCTGGCATTCATGTTCAGACTATCTGATGGACACATCCAGGCTTTTCTTTCCCCTGTAAAAAAAAGGGGCAGGATCCCTCTCGGTATAATTAGAAATTTGGGAGCCAAGTATGTCTCTCCATTCATTGCTGAGAGAACAGGAAACCCAGCGATCTGCTAACCCTTCGCCTGTGAGCCCCAGATTGCACAAAGTGTTTGCCTGTAAGAAAGGAGAGGATAACTAGATTGGGGAAAGAGGAGGGATCAGTGGACTCTGATCACAATGCGGGAGGTTTGAATGAATTATTTTGAAGGTTGGACAACTGTAGGTAAAGACCAAGTTCAGGGTGTGACTGAAGTGGTGTAGAGGGGAAGAAGCCTGCAGAGGAGAAGGTAAAGGAACCGGGAGGCCAGGGTGTCAGGTAAGGTCATTTTTGTGAACACTGAAGCCACCTGGGCTCCTGGAAGATCTTGGGACGAGGAAGACTATGAGCAGGTGCCAAAGTCTTCAAAGAGTGAGAGGATGTAACTAGGAGGTCAGCAGTGATGACAGAGATAGGAGGGCATGAGGATGGTATGGTCAAATGGCATGAGCCCAGAGCCTCAGAGGAAATGTTTTTTTTTTTTTTTTTTTTTTTTTAAATAAGAGATTGGGGAGGTAACAGTCAGTGATTGAACAGGGAGGGGAATTCCTGGATCTGATGATGCTTTTTGTGGAACACCATCATGAAAAAAGAGATTTAAACTCATCATATACACTGATTTAGCACAAATAATCTCTTAGTAATCTAAGTGGGCTAGAATTGTTAAAAGGCTAATAATGCATACACAGTCATCTCTGTACCTGTGGTTGAAAGTTCAAGGAAACCATAGTTGAAGGAAGGGCAGAGAAGATGTTGGCAGGACACACAGGAACAGCCTGGAAGATGTGGACGTAACTAATTCAGGCTAGAGGAAGGGCTGGGGTTGGCAGGAGGAGAGGAAGAGCAGCAGTCAGTGTGGGGAGGAAGGAAGGACGTGGCAATTAGTTTCTTTAGAGACTGACATTTAATCTTGTCAATGTTGGCTGTTTTTTAAATGCCTTTGAAAATTTTTGTCTGCAGAGGAGGTAATTCAGGAGTTTACTATGGCTTTATGATTTCATATTTGAATTACTAAATTTACACATTTATAAACCTGTCCTTCCTTAAGCTTTTAGTTTTGACTTGCTATTTATAAATCTACCAAAATTTAAAAAATCAGTTCAAAAGGAACTTTGGCTTACATTTGGTCCTGCTTACAAACTTAGCTAATTAAACTTTTAAAAATTTTGAACTGCATTTATAAACGTAAAACATTTGATATTGTCTTTAAGTATCTTAGTTGTCTAAATTTTCCTAAGTTCTTAAATAGCTCTTATATAATTGATAAACTTTTAAACATGGTGAGCTTTAAGCTCTCTTAAATGTTTCAATACATGATATAAATATTTCAATACATCTTTCTACAAACAATTTTTAATTTAAAATCACAAGTATAAACAAAGTACACATTTTAAATTGGAATTACAAGCCTGGCCTTTACTATAACAGGCCAAATTGTTTTTTATTTTATTTTACTTCTCAATATACATTGTAGCTGATTTTCATGCCACTTTACCCATTCCTCTCTGCTCCCTCCCCTCCCCCCTCCACATCATATCTGTTCACTTGACTTAATAGTTCAAAGATTTTTTGTGGTTATTCTGTCTTCTTCCCCACCCACCTTGATTTGTTTGTGTATTTATTTATTTATTTATTTATTAGCTCCCACAAATAAGTGAGAACATGTGGTATTTCTCTTTCTGTGCCTGACTTGTTCACTTAATATAATTTTCTCTAAGTCCATTCATGTTGTTGCAAGTGGCAGTATTTCATTCTTTTTTATAGCAGAGTAGTATTCCATTGTGTAGATATACCACAGTTTCTTTATCCAGTCATCGGATGATGGACATTTGGGCTGGTTCCAATTCTTGAGGTCAAATTCTTTTAAACATGATGTCTTAAAAAATTAATTATCCACAGATTCCTTAACACAAAATATTAATATAAACATTAATTATAAATCTTACAGAAGTTGCACCCAGACACTTTTTGGGCCAGATATGACTGTCAATCCAACTGTCCAGAGTGTAGCAACCTCCCAGGCTTTGAAATATATGTACACACACATAGAAAACCTTTACGTCAGCATACATAATTTGGGGGAATTTTTTCCTAGGTAGTTAGCCAGCAATATTGGTTGCAAAGCTGGCAGTATTCTTGTCCATGACCTTGAGTGGTACACACCAAACCCTAGTTATATGTAATAATAAGAACCGAGCTGAAAGAAGGCAATAGTCACATAGTCATGTCCCTGAGTTCAAGTCATACAATGATTCATTTTTTCCATCTACATGGAAGTCAGCAACCCTTACCCAGACCGCCAGACCACCTGGTTGGATTTAGCAGTTATTTGGCTCTTAAGATATTTCAATATATTTTTTGAGGATTCCAAAGAACTTAGAACTTGAATGGGGAATAATCACAATTTGTGGTAATGGGCATGCTGATAGTATTGATCTGACCATCACATCTTGGGCAGTATTGATCTGACCATCGGGGAATAATCACAATTTGTGGTAATGGGCATGCTGATAGTATTGATCTGACCATCACATCTTGGGCACAGGTGGTGATGGTCAGCTTTGTACCCCATGAATATACATAATCAATAATTTTTTTAAAAACTTAGAATTTGATAAAATTCTGTCTTCTTTTCATATTCTTCTGCCTGAAGAGGCCATACAACCCTTACAGATATTAAAATGATACCAGTCATTCATGGTTTTGTCTGACCATATAGGTAAAAATGGTGCCCTATATTTCTTCATTCCCATCTTTAAATGAGGACAGCTGCTGTGTGCTGGGGGTAGGAAAGCAGTCAAGAGGCTACCATGCAGGCTTACCTCTTGCAGCTCCCTGTGTTTGCAATGGCCACTTTCGATGTTTATACTCCATTTCTCTAGGCCTAACAAATGCTCTGAAAACACGAGTCAATCTTCCACTCAACAAGTATTGGCTGGGTGCCTACTATGTTCTAGGGGCTGAGATACTTCACTGCAGAAAGGAGAACAAAACCCATGTCCCCATGACATTAATTTCCAGTTGTATTCAGCAGTTCTGTGTGAATCTGGAAGCTCCTTTTCCATAGTTGTAGTGGATTGAATTATGTCCCCCCAAAACTCACTGAAGCTTGAATTGTGTCCCCCAAGTTTTATGTGTTAGAAACTTGGCCCCTGCTGTGACTGTTAAGAGGGTGGGAAATCCTATTATGGTAATTGAAAGGTGGAGCCTTGAAGAGGTGAGTGGATTGTAGGACCATGAACTAGTAAATGGATTAAAAATGGTGGTCGGTGGCATAGTTCTGAGGGCTTTAGAAGAAAAAAGAGGAGAGTCTGTCTCTTTCTCTCTCTGCTCTCTCTGCTTCCACCATCTTACAATGTGAGACTCCTGGGTCACTGTCACCACCACCCAGCCTCAGAAACTGTAAGAAAATAAATTTTGTTTTCTTTATAAATCACCCAGTTCCAGGTATTTTTTTATAAGCAACATAAACAGACTAATAAAATAGTCTAACAGAATTCTTGCAACAAATGAAAACTATGTACTTTGTGTTTGGGGGTCTTGTGTATTTCAATCTATCCTATAACAACTTACCTCATTAAGCATCCTCATGGTTTGGCCCTTTGTTTCTGGGATAGTCCATCAAAGACTTCAGGAAAATCTCTTTCTCTCTTTTTTTCCCCATTTTCCCAAATTTTAGATTCTTTCAATATTAACAAGTTCTCTAAATTATAACAAACAAGCAGGATTTTTATGGGCCTTTTGTTCTGAATTAAAACTGATGCTTTTAATCCCCAGAGATATGAACCAAGATGTCTGGAATAAGTGTAGGTCAGTCTCTCGGGTTGACATGTGAAGTCATCAATTTTACTCTGAGAGGTTTCATTTGATCTTTCAAGTTTTCAAAAGAGTTTGGAAGTGAGAAATACTGCTTTTCATAGGAGGTGAAAGGAAATAGGAGAACCTTACAGTCAGGCTCATAATAAAGAAAACAAATATTTAGACAAGCTAAAGTAATAAAACAATAGGATTTGCAAACCAGTTTTTGGAGGTAGACCTGGAAGACTATATTTCAGGAAAATGGAAAATAGGACAGCTGAGATCCCACGAATAGACCAGGCCCAACAGAAAATATAATAACTGAGCTTAGTTACGGGAATTTTCCACCATGACAGAACTTTAAAGACACACTTTTGCTTTTATATTAACTACAGATATGCAGTTGAAAGTGCCAAGATCTGCTTGAAAGCATATCTTTGTCACAATATCTAAAATCACCAGGACATTTGGATCTCAGTGAAAGTTCGATGGTTGAAGAGTACCTGAAGCATTCATTTCATAAGGATGCCTGGAACTCCTTCTGTATCTTGAACTTAAAACAAATAATGTACAATCTCTGGAACATGTTGCCTACTCTAGAGAAACTGACTAACCTTGATCTTGGTCAGTGTATACTTGGTTCTTTACCTAACACCTAACAGTGGCCCGAAAGGCTGGAATACCCTAAGTTATCTAACACAAAAATACACAATTTTACAGTAGTTCCCAGACACTAGGCTTATTAGACGTTAGCAATATAATGTTTTATTTAGAAACAACCCAAAGAACTTACATTTTCAGATATGTGTTGAAGACCATACCAGATGCTTTCTTCCTCAGTTGAAAAATTCAGCCTGTGAGGATGCCTGGCCTTCCCTACAAACCTTAATTTTAAGACAAAATCATTTGAAATCATTAGAAAAAACTGGAGAGACCTTGCTTACTCTGGAAAACCTGACTAATCTTGATATCAGTAATAATAATTTTCATTCTATGCCTGAAACTTGTCACTGGCCAGAAAAGCTGAAATATTTGAACTTATCCAGCACACAAATACAGAGTTTAACTCACTGCATTCCCCAGACACTGGAAATTTTAGATGTTAGCAATAACAATCTCAATTCGTGTTCTTTGATTTTGCCACAACTCAAAGAACTTTATATTTCCCAAAACAAGTTGAAGACTCTACCAGATGCCTCCTTCTTTCCCCTGTTAATAGTCATGAAAATCAGTAGGAATACAATAAATACTTTCTCTAAGGAGCAACTTGATTCTTTTCACAAACTGAAGACTTTGGAAGCTGGTGGCAACAATTTCATTTGCTCCTGTGAATTCCTGTCCTTCACTCAGGAACAGCAGGCCCTGGCTGAGGTCCTGATTGACTGGCCAGAAAACTACCTGTGTGACTCTCCGTCCCATGTGAGGGGCCAGCAGGTTCAGGACACCCATCTCTCAGTTTCAGAATGCCACAGGGCAGCACTCGTGTCTGGCATGTGCTGTGTGCTTTTCCTGTTGATCCTGCTCATCGGGGTTCTGTGCCACCGTTTCCACGGACTGTGGTACATGAGAATGATGTGGGCCTGGCTCCAGGCCAAAAGGAAGCCTAGGAAAGCTCCCAGCAGGGACATCTGTTATGATGCATTTGTTTCTTACAGTGAACGGGATTCCTACTGGGTGGAGAATCTTATGGTCCAGGAGCTGGAGAACTTCAATCCGCCCTTCAAGCTGTGTCTTCATAAGAGAGACTTTATTCCTGGCAAGTGGATCATTGACAATATCATCGACTCCATTGAAAAGAGCCACAAAACTGTCTTTGTGCTTTCTGAGAACTTTGTGAAGAGTGAGTGGTGCAGGTAGGAGCTGGACTTTTCTGTCGTTTATGATTTGCGTGACGTTTCTGGGTGTGGAAGAGGAGCTAGAACGCTCTCCTTCAAATCTCAATTTGTGAAGATCAAATGTAGTTATGAATATAAAAGGTGGTTTATCAATACTAAGGCAGTTTAATTTTAAAAGGTAACCCCTTCCCCCACCTCCCCATAAGTATTCCTCACTGCCTGAGATAAACTAGTTTTTGTGTTTGTTTTTGGAATCACTCTGAGAAGCAGGACGGAAAGGAGCAGGGAGGACTTAGCTCCAAACCCGACTCATGTCGCGCACAGGGGTGGGCTGTAGGTGCCAGGGGCGGCGTGCCAGCAGCTGGCGTCACAGGACTGGGGAGAAAAAAGCCCTGGGCTGTTGTCACCGGTTACTTCCGGCCACCTCCGGCAAGGTGCAGTCCTGTGGGTCTGGACAGCGACTGGTGAACTACTTTGCCGCAGGCGAGCGCAGACGTGGGGGTGGCAGTGGGCCCTGGACCTATATTGGCCGGTGAATCAAGTGTTGAAACCAGGGGAAGAAGAAGCAGGACTCATGAGCCGAGCGAGGGCTCCCAGGGACGGGGAGCATCAGCAGTGGGGTTTAAAGACGGCGCGTTCCAGGCGATGTGAGGTGTCGGGCGCCCAAAGCGCCAAGAAAAGCCGGCTGGGCCCTCGGCCCTGTGCTCGGTCGGGAGCCGCCTCAGTGCTCGCGGGCATCCCACGCGGGGCCGCTAGCGCCCGCCTTCTCTGCCCCGCATCGCCACCCGGCCCCCGGCGCCCCGGCCCCGGCGGTCGCGGTCAC